AAAAGCGAGAAATGTGTTGCGAGCGAAGGAATCCAGAGAAAATAGAGTTGGACAAGGACAAAAATCAGCAAGACTTGCTCATGATTCCCGGACACCCTATAAACACCTCTGCCCTGATGAGATGAGAAAGAGATTGCAAAATGCACAGGCAGAAAAGCGAAAAGCAAAAGCAAAGCTCGAAGAAATGGAAAAAAAGATGAAGGAATTCATAGAACAGRATGGAGTAAAAGTTGATGCTGATCTGCATAAAGAGCTGAAAAGAACTGTCACAGACAGTAGACCAACTGAATTTGAGCCTGGAACATTTWWAYATTTGTTTTGGGAGCAACAAAAGAAAATGGCTTCAGTGTTTGATGCTAGAGCAATGYRCTGGCATCCTTTAATGATAAAGTGGTGCCTTTCATTGAAGCAACTATCCTCTTCWGCATACTCATTTTTAAGATCCAGTGGTATGATGGATTTACCAAGTGAGAGGACATTGTATGACTTCAGCCACTGGACTGAAGCAGAGACTGGAGTGAGTTGCAGCATCCTTGAAAAACTTCTTGATGAGTTAGGAAAAGAAGACTGGCAATTGAATGTTGGAATTGTTGTTGACGAAATGAAGATCAAGAGCGATCTTGTATATTCCAAGTCAAGTGGTGAACTTGTTGGTTTTGTAAATATGGGGGACTTCAACAATCAAATGGAAACATTTCAGCAACGTTGCAGCAGTGATGGTGAACAAAAAGAACCACAACTAGCTACACATGTACTTGTGTTGATGGTGAGAGGTCTTCTCACCAAGCTTAAGTTCCCATTTGCCCATTACAGTACTGTSGGCTTCACCAGTGCTCAGCTATTTCCTTGTATCTGGGAGGGAGTCATGGTGCTGGAGTCTTTGGGATTAAAAGTGAGAAGCATAACTGCAGATGGAGCATCTCCCAATAGGAAATTCTTCCGCCTTCATAGAGCCCCTGACCTTCCAGATGGGACACCTGTCTACAAAACAAAGAATGTGTTTGCTGAGGAATCAAGGGATATCTATTTCATCTGCGACCCACCGCATTTAGTCAAGACTGTACKCAACTGCTGGGAGAAGTCCCACAATGGACAGAGCAAACGAAAAATRAAGGTAAGTATATAATCTGTAACAACAATRATACCTTTATGTGGTCTAAAAAAATTAGCTTGCATGAAATGAGATTGCAAACGAGGACTGACAAAAATGGCTGTTTGTATTAATTTTTTTTTATTAATATACAGAATGAGGGCATGGATATTAGCTGGCAGCACCTTGTCACATTGTATGAAAGAGATGTTGGCATCAACCGAAATGCCCCTGGACTCCGACTAGTACCAAAGCTAAAATATGACCATGTGCATCTTAACAGTTTTCTCCGAATGAGAGTGAACCTTGCTGCTCAGGTAAGTATTAATCACAGCAGTGGATGATTTTTTATTTTTATTTTATTAGTGATTAGTAGAATATCATACACATATTTCTGTAAGTTTAGACTGGATTATAGGTTGTAGAAATTGCTTCAGTATAATAATGAGCTGTAGAAGAAAACATTCAAATATTTTGATCCTGTCATGTGATTTGTCATGTTTGTTGAAGTATTTCRTATTATTTTGTGCTGTATTATAATTTTTCATTGAATTCATACTGTATTCTGCTATCTGTTTTTTTTCAAATTTTGTGATTGTGTTTCAGGTGTTATCATTATCTGTGGCAAATGCACTGCAGTTTGTGGGGAATAACCATACTAGAGGCACAGAGAAATTTATCAGAATGATTGACAGCTTTTTTGACTGCATGAATGTCAAAAATACTGTTGAGGGAGTTCGGTCTAGGAAAGCCTTCAAGTTACCTTACAAAGACCCAGAAGACACCAGATTCAAGGTAAAAAAAATCTTCAAACTTTAACACTTAACTAGGTTCACTTCACTAATACTACTGTAGGATATCCATTCTTAAATTGATTGAAGAATATTATTTGCAGTGGTTGACAGACACATTCCTGGTCTACTTGGATAACTGGGAAGCGTCCATTGCAAGAGATTTCAGTGATCTACCTAAAGAGCAAAGGAATCGAATGTGCCTCAGCYGTGAGACCTTGGAAGGCCTTCGTATAACAGGTGAGGTTTAACCCTAAAGAAAGGAATGCTACAACAGGAATCCCAGTAACTGGAATAAAAGAATTCTATATTTGTGTGCCTTATTATCCAAGKAATACCAGGTCACAAATTCTAGAAATAATAATTATTCTAGGATTTCTCACCTGGTATTCCTCRGCTTATAACTATTCATTAAAGTTTTATTTTTGATTTGACTGATTAGTAGGTTTAGACTAAAACAATTAGACCTCTGCCTTGTGGACAATGGCCTCATGGGCTATCAAACATAGTCCACTTGCCCTTGAGGTCTAATTGTTAATTAATCATCCCATATCTAATTTTTGTAACATTGATTCTTCT